GTGTGTGTGTGTGTGTGTGAGTAGCCGCAATTGGAATGAATGTGGCTAATAAAAATAAAAACGAGCCTACAACTGTATTTGCCTGCCCGCTTTTGCTACCCCCACCCCCCTTCACACTTGGGCAGCCCTTGGCTTTTGTATGTTTGGCCAATTGGAATAGAAAATTGACATGGCTTTTTGTGCTCCGCTCTTTGTATTTGTGCACCAGCTGTGCTTGTGGCTATTTTTTTGTGGCTCGTAATGTAATTTAAACATGCAACAAACTATTTGGCAGGATTTGTAGTTTGCACAATTGCAGCTCTACCGACAGGGGAGAAGCGAAACAATTAAATAGCCCCTGGCGCTGAAAGCGAAAATAGGGTCATTTCGTTGCGTATGAATCTAAAAATACCGCTAAATTCGTAAATAATACCAGTTTCAAGGCCAGTCTAAAATAAAACCCCCCACAACGAGCCTTACGGCTTTAACGGGAACATTTACGAAACGTTTTGTTGCCAGGCGACAGGAGCTTGTCACAGCTTTTTAATGAGCCTTTCTATGGTAATTGGATTCCAGGAATTCTTCGCAGATTTAATTTTTCATTTCCCAGCAATTATTGACCAAGAAGCAGAACCAATAAAACAATCTCCATATATATGAACAATTTAAGCGCGCGGAACCACAATAAAGGCAAAACAAGTACATAAATATGTCAGGGTCTCGTTTTGAATAAATAATAAAAACAGATGGAAAAATAAAAATAAAAAGCAAAACGAAAATAAAATAAAATAAAATAATACAAAATAATGCGTTAGGAGAGCGCAGATGTTTTGACACTGAAATAATCCATTAATACAATAAAGAATTTCGCTGCTGCTGGTTTTTTTTTTATACTTTGGCCAGAGGTCAGAGGTCGTCTCATTGTTTTCTTTTGGCAGGCAACTTTGAAAGCCAAATATTTGTACAACAATTTGTATAAATGGTGGCTTTTTTTTTTTTTTTTTTTTTTTTTTTTTTTTTT